TGGGGCTGGGTAAGGCCAATGCTGGAAGTCAGGAGCTTCTTTTGGGTTTACCACGTGGGTGGTAGGTGCCCAAATACCAAGCACACCAGTAGAGAGCTGGATGGAAAGTGGAGCAGCCAGGACTCGAACTGGCACCCACATGAGATACCAAAGTCACACAGTTTAACCTGCTGCCACCACAATGCCAGCTCCAAGGCCTGATCTCAAGAGGGCATGGATATCAGAGAAAGTAGGACACAAGTAAGGTGGAATTAGGCAACTGCTGTCTTCCGCCTCCTCTTTACCTGTTTCTGCTCATGACAACCCATCCACCTGACTCCTTTTTTTTTTTTTTTTTACATACCACTGCTACCCATGAGCATCCTGTTTTGATCGTGTCCTGTTGGTTCCTTTTTTTTTTTTAAGATTTATTCATTTTATTTGAAAGGCAGAGTTACAGAGAGGCAGAAGCAGAGAGAGAGAGAGAGAGAGGTCTTCCATCTGATGGTGACTCCCTAATGGCTGCATTGGCCAGAGCTGCACCGATCTGAAGCCAGGAGCCAGGAACTTCTTCTGGGTCTCCCTTGTGGGTGCAGGGGCCCAAGAACTTGGCCATCTTCCACTGCTTTCCCAGGCCATAGCAGAGAACTAGATCAGAAGTGGAAAAGCTGGGATTCGAACCGGCACCCACATGGGATGCCGGCACTGCAGGCAGCAGCTTTACCCACTCTGCCACAGTGCTGGCCCTGTGTTGGTTCCTTTTGAATCAACTCTTTTGTCCCTTCTTTCTGTCTCTCCCCGCATTCAGGAGTCTACTAATGTTCAATTGGACAAGCTTCCTCCCTGCCCTCCCTCTCCCCAGTCCTTTAAGATAATTATAAAGCCCAGCTCAGCCTTTCTCCAGAATCTTGTTAGGCTGTCTCTCTCTGCCCCCCCCCCCCCCCCCGCCAGGATAAAGGTTGAGCTCCTTAGTGTAATATTCAGGGTCTTTCAGGAGCTTCCTCCCTTGCCAATCTTTCCAACTCCTTCCCTGCCACTTCCCCCAGTCCAATTGCTCTGTGATTTTGAAATCATCCTGTATTTGCAGTCTTGTCCCTTCCTAATGCCCTTCCTCCCAGTCAGCCCTGTTTTTTCTTCCCCTTTTTCTTCCCTGCTTGTGTATGCCTGTATGTCCCTGGGGGGTAGAGTTAGCTGCCAGGGACACCTCCCGGGACCTTTGTGCATCATAAAAATGTGTCTCCTCTATCTGAAGTCCTAATCCTCTGCTTGTGACGGACAATTGGTCACTATGGCAACTGACTGTGACGTCACAGGATAAGGACTTCAGGTGAAGTGGCAGGAGCAGGTGAGTGTGTAGGAGACAGATCTTAATGTCTGTCGCAGGCCCTCCCCCATCCCCCACCCTTACACCCTCCTTCAGCGCTGGGGGGCCTGGAGGGATATCTCGGGCTCCTGCTGTTTTTTAAAATGATGCGGTGAGAGTGTGTGCCTGGCATCTGCGTGCTGCAGCAGTGTGGGGCTGACAGAGTGTGTCAACTCGAGCTCTGGCTGTGCAGGCACCGCTGCTGCGTGAGCCTGTTATTCCATTCTGGATTGCTATTTTGATACCCAGATTGCATCATTCTTCCTACGTATAAACAGGGGGTCCCCAGGGCCCTGCAGCTACTCACTTCTCCACCAACACTGTTGTTGTGATGAGCTCTATTTAAATGAGCTGCCGGATCGGGGCAGGTTCCAGCCACACATGAGCACTGTCATTTTGGGGAACATGGAGGGCTGAAGGATTTTTGGATCGAGTCCTAAAAGACTGAGAGTGATGGCCTCCCGAGCTGTGCAGAGGCGACAGAGCTAGTTCCTGAAAGTTGAAAATCTCGTTTTCTTCCTTCTGAGCTTCTATTCCAAGGCACCCAGAGGATTAGGAAGGAGATGCAGCTAGGAAGAGAGTCGCCTCTTTGAGGTCTGCCTCTTGCTGTTCAGTTTGGGAAAATTGCTGCAGAGCCTTCGAGATAAACAGGAACAGGAGGAGTCAACCAAGCTCTTTCTTGAAGGAGCATCTCAGGTGAGCTAGAGAAACGCAGCCCTGGCTGAGGATGCATCAGAAAAAGGAGGAGAGGCTCCAGGCTGCGCCCCCTACCCCACCCAGTACCCAGCTCCCTGAAGCGTAGGCCCTGCAGCCCAGCTGGCTGCAGCATGCGGGGCGGGTGTTCCTGGGCGCTTGGTATGCAACATCCTCGGGGACCTGTGGTGGTCTCACCTGTCGCTCCTCTGACTTCTCTCCTCTGACATCTCTCCCAGGTGTTGCTGTAATCTCAGGGCAGCAGGGCCACAGGTAAGCCTGCTGGCAGCCAGGGGCAAAGACAGCATTTGCCTGGCGGTGTCTTGGATCAAAATCTGTGTTTCTAGCAGGGACTAGGCATCTGGTGAATGGCTGTAGTGTTTCTCTAAGGTGATGTTTCTCTGAAAGCTTCAGGGGCTTGTGTGGTGGGGGCTTTAACTGGGGTGCCCTGGGCTGGGAGGGCCGGAATGGTTAGTGAGGTTAGCCAGCCTGTCACAGGATCCAACCAGGTGCTCTTTCTCCATGCACAGTGCCTGGCAGAAGCTGAGGGAGGTAGTGTCTTATCTGTGACTACGGGGAAAATCAGGGATTGCTCAGTGGTTTAGATAGCACCTAGGTTTTATAAGAGCTAAGTCCCTCCCTCTGTTGGAGACTCCGTGCCACTGTCTGTGTGGTAGGGAAATGGCTAAAGGAACAGTGGGAGTCTGTGTCCCCTTGGTTCTCCAAGTGGGGACAGACAGGGGAGCTCAGGCTGCTTCAAGAGATGTCACTGCTGTTTTGGGGCGAGAGCTTGGGCCCCAGTTGGAAAGTTTCATGGAGCTCTCCATAAGAACTGTGGAATGAAGGGTTTCCTAACCTTGTTGAGCACTGGACAAAAGCTTCTGCACATGGGATGTATGTGTCCTTACCTGGTAGCCTGAGCTGACCTAATGCCAGCTTTCTGAGAACTCTTTGGGGTTTCTCCCCTATCCCAGCCCTCTAGTACCCATGTTGCCTTCTCCCTGCTGTCCATGTCTCAAGGGTAAATTACCCTGTCTAGGCCCCCTCCCTTGCTGCCTTGCTAAGTCTTGGGTTCAGCATGCTTGCTAGGCCCTAGCAGCAGTCATTGTAGTGCCAGGCCTCTGGATGCACCCTAAGCCTGTTTTGGATCCTTGAGTTGGGAGTAGGGAAGGCAAAAATGTGTCTTCATCTCAGCACCAGCTTCCTGGGTACCTGCGTGTCAGGACAGCCTCTATCTGTTGGGAGAAAGCCATTTTCCCTGACAAAGGGAAAATTCATCATGGCTGCATTCAGAGTTTGTTGTAACTTCTTGGAGCCTCTTTTGAAAACTGTGAGCCTGCCTTTCTCAGCTTCAGGATACAGGAGACAGAGCTATCAGGCTCAGCCTCAGGGGAAGAGGTCATTCTTTCTAACTGCTGGTCCTCAAACTTGTGGTATCTTGTAATCAGAGAATTTTTTTTTAATCCTGCTATTTGGACCCAACTTTCTGGAACTCTGGTTTAATTGATATGGAGATAGACTGGGCATCAGGATATTTAAAAGCTCTACTTATGATTTGAATTTGCAGCAAAGTTTGAGAACCACTGCTCTTTAGAATGAAACTGCCTCCAGAAAAACTTCATTTCACTTGACTTTGCTCCAAATCATATTTCTTTTTTTTTAAATAAAGATTTTATTTATTTATTTGAAAGGCAGTAACAGAAAGAGATTGAGAGACAGAGAGAGAGAAGTCTTCCATCTGCAGATTCATTCCACAAATGTCCGCAAAGGCTGGAGCTGGGCCGATCCGAAACCAGGAGCTTGTCCCAGGTCTCCCACATGGGTGCAGGGGCCCAAGCAGTTGGGTCATCTTCCACTGCTTTCCCAGGTCATTAGCGGGGAGCTGGATCAGAAGTAGAGCAGCCAGGATTTGAACCAGTGCCCATGTGTGATGTGGGCACCAAAGGTAGATGCTTAACCTACTATGCCACAGGCCAACCCCAAGATCATATTTCTTAAAACTTTCAGCGCAGCCGAGCTAGCTTCCAGGAAGCTCCTTCAAGATTTTTGGAGTCCAGAGCTGGAGACCAGGATCAGGTTGTTATTATAGTCTGATCATTGTTATGTAATATTTTATTTATAATCAATTTATCTCAATAATTAAAGCAAAATTGTCTTGTTTATTCCCAATTGAATCAGAGAGGAGTATAGCAGAGTGGAAAGGGCATAGGTTTTTGAGGCAGACATGCTTGGGTTCCAGTCATAGTTCTGCTCTGCCTTGTCTAATCTGTGATGAGTGACTTCTTGGAGCCTGAGTCTCCAATTGTAAAATTGGGACAAGGCCTATCTCTCAGAGATGGTTTGATAATTAAATGAGATAATATCTGTAAAGTTTCTGGCATGTAAGATGATAGTAAATTGATGTAAATTTGCCCCCTACCTGCTAGGGACCAGAAACTTTCATGCTCAAGACAGATGGACAAAATGTACTTGGCTTTCAGAGTTGTTCTCCCAGGCATACCAGGAGGACCTCTGGTGCTGTGACTTCCTTATTTTGGAAACAGAAGTCCCACCTCCTTTGGGAGAGTCATGTGACCTTGGGGTCCTGGCTCTGTGCTGCTCAGAATTTATGTTTCTGTGTGAAATAAAAGCTCAAAGCTGTCACTTGACTCATTCACATGGAAAAAAAAAGTCCCACTATATATGAACAATATTTTATGTATGATATGATTTCAGTATGTATTCATAACTAAATTAACATTCAATATTATGAGAAGATGTTGGGTTATTTTATATACATCAGTGTATATAAAGTATCCCTAAGAGTTTATACTGCTATATTTCTGTTATCTGAAATAAAACTTCATTTTGGGATCCTCAGTGAAAGATGGGAGGAAGCCTCAGGTTGACACAGCTTGAATGGGGGATAGGGATTGTCTGAAGGAAGAGAAGACAACAGAGGTATGTGACACAAAAAGCACAAGTCCTCTGTGTCTGTGCTGGCCCTCAGCCCCCTCGGACAGAGCATGCACCACTGTGTTCATTCTGTCTCTCAGCTTTGTGCTTCAGCAGCCCTCTTCAGAGGAGTGCTCCCCTCAGCCACAAGCCTGTCCCCCTGATTGTCTGATAAAGATGATAGCCAGGGTGCCCCCGGGAGAATATTTCTGAAGCTTGGCTGCCTTAGGGCAGAAGAAAAGGGTTGGGTGATCCATACTTCTGTGCTATTTAGTAAAGTTCAAGAGAAAGGGGGTGACTCACCCCAAGTTACACAGCCAAATAGAGGCAAGCCTGGACTAGAACCCACAAATTCCAACTCATAACCTTTCCCAAGCACCATACCTCTGCTTTCCTTTATCACCCTGGGCTGGATTTTTTTCATCACCCAGAAAATTTCCAGGTAGCTTCTTACTATTTTTGGTGGCTATGAATCCACAAACCCAAAGGAAATATAATTGTCCAATCTGCTAGAAAGCTAAGCAATATCTTTTAAAGCCAAAGGGGGTTATTTTTTTATGCAGACATATAAATAGGTGAAAAGCAATGTGATGTTTGTTGTACTAGAAGGATGTTCAGGATATTGTGGGATCCCAGAAGGAGGACTAATTAGCTTATCCCTGGGGAAATCAACACTGCTTCTCAAAGATGGAACATTTGAACAGGTTTGAAAGGATGAATAGGAGTTTATCTGAAAAGGAAAGCAAGAAAGAGTCTTACAGGGAAAGGGATAGGGATATGTGACATTGCAAAGATAGGTTTATGGCGGATGAAGCTAGGGATGAGACTGGAGTGGGATAAGGCCATTTTGGAAAGGGCCTTGTGTATACAGATGAGAATCTTGGCTTTAAGGTCAAGGGAGGTAGCAAATGTATAAGGAGGCCTTGTCTGACATATTCAGTCCTTTCTCTTTTTCCATGCTGCTAATGATGCTGTGTTACTACTGGGCATCTGGAACCAGGGAGTTGGAAGTCTTGTGGAAATCATTTTCAGCAATTAAAGCATTATCTCTGTGCTGGGGTTGCATGAGGAGGGTCTCCCTAGGGAGAGCCGGTGGAAGGGAGGGATAGTCACCTGGTTTCTCTGGACGATGCCGTCTGTAGAGAGCATCCTTCCCCACCTCTGGTCACTGTTCCGGACCAGCAGGAGAGTATCCGGGAGATTCCAGGAGTGATTCTGTCATTAAAGTCCATGGCTCTGTGCAGACTGAGGGAGTGTTTCTTTGAGGGGAGGTATTAAATTATTACTTTAAATGATTTTGTCAATTTTGATTTTTCCAGGATGTAGGAATAAGCATTTCCTGTGCAATGAGCAACCCTCAAAGTGGTCAAAACAACTGAACTTTATTTTGTTTACAGTTCCACGGGTTGACACTTGGGACTACAATTCTCGGGGTAATTCTTCTGGTCTGGCCTGGACGTGACTAATCTTGGCTGTCTGTGCACCCGTGTTTGTGTCCAGCTGGTGGGTCAGTTGGGGCTAGCTGGGTTATGATGCACTCCGGTGGGATGTCCCAGATGGCTGAGGCCTCTTCATCTGTGACCTCTTCCAGCAATTTTAACTTCAGGTTAGGTTTTTCACATAGCAGTCTTAGAAATCTAACAGCAAGACCAGAATCATATCAAACTGCTTGAGATCTGGAGTTGGAACTAGTTTAGCATCACTCTTGGAATATTCTGTTGGCTAAAGCAAGTCACAAGGCAAACCTAGGTTCAAAGGATACAGAATTCTACTTTTTCATAGTAGAAATGCAAGGGCATGAATGCAGGAAGAGGAATTTGTGGATATTTTTTCAATCTACCACTCAAAACATCTGACTTCTATCACCAGGGAGACTTGATAATTGAGTTTATTGCCTTACCTTGAATGAGGAATCTTTTAAATTCAGAGTCCACCGTCATAGAGGACCCTGGGACCATGTATTTTTGCAAGCTGTATCTAATTTAATCCTCCCAGCAAGTCTTATTTTGCCTTTCTAATTTATTTATTATAAAAAATAACAGGCATAGAAATGAGATTAAGTGACTTGCCCAAGGTCATTGGGGGGTAAACATAGTATTTGGATTTAACATTTGTCTGACTTCAAGTCCTGAGAAGCTGCCATTGTATCATTCTTTTCTATTTTGATGAGATGAAGCAGAGAAGACTGTGACAGCCCTGATGCCTTTGCTGCCATAGCCAGCCCCTTCCCAGGTCATGCTCATCCCTGGATTGCCTTGCTCACAAAGCTGGGTTCCACGTTCCCAGTGGGTTAACTGCTCATAGGGTGGGCCTGAAGAGTCGCTTCAGTCTCCATGGTGGCAGTCTCATGGTCCTTATACTGAGGAATGTGTTAGAGATTGCTATATTTCTCTGGGGAGAAGGAGGAGGGCAAGCTGTTCACAGGTGAAATATATACATATCATGACTTATGGTGGAGATTGTCAAGCGAAGGACCATCTGAGCCCCAGGGGCAGAGGGGTCAGTATTGGCTGTACCAAAAGAAAAATACCTCCTCTGTGAGCAGGCAAGGAGGCCCTGTCTTTTCTGGCTAGAGCCTCCTAGAATCTCCAGCTTTGAGATCTTTAAATTAATCTAGCTACATGGTAGCCTCAATGATTTGGAACCATGCTGTGGGTTAAACTGACACTCTGGAGTTTGGCCAGTGATGTCAGCTAGGCTCTCAGGATGTGGAATGAGGAATGGGAGCAGCAGAAAGGCACCTGATTGTCAGAAGCAGAGTGGGGTTGGGCTTTTGTGGTATGGCTTGGTGGGAGAGGAAGGTAGAACCAGGCGAAAACAAGGATGTGAGGAGACCAGATGGTCTGCAGGGCAGGTTCCTGATGGCCACATTCAGAGTATCTACGTGGTAAATGCAGGCTGTAGCATCGAATACAGCTCATTGTGGCACAAGTAGGTATTGTGCACTAGAGAGCCTCTGTCTAGACCTCATGTATAGTCTGCTTTGTTGTCTTGACTGTGCTTTCTTTCCCCGACCAGAGCTCATCTCCTGTCCAGGGTGTAAGCGAGTGTACCTTACCAGGGATGTAACTGAGCATTTTTTCCTGCAGTGCTTTCCTACCAGGCAACCCAAGATGGCCAGGGTAAGTCCAGACAAAGAAAGAAGCAAAACTGCTGTCTTTCAGGAATCTGTGATGATCCTGTCCTTAAGGGTCTGTCCACTCATTACTCCATCTGACTTAATACTCCTCCATCAATTTGCCTAGCCATCAACCTATCCATCCTTCTATCTAGAAGACAATAAAAACGTTTGAAATGGGGAAAGCAAAGTAGGGGTTTTCTGTTAAGTGAAAATTATAGGCTGTCACCCTTTTGTTGTTAGTGCTTTGGCAGAAGGTGAATGTATCTGAAGGTACATTAAGGACCACTTAATGTATCCAAGTGTTTGTCTCTCTCTCTCAGAGCTCTTACTGAGAAATATCAGTACTGGGCTTTTATTCCCCCCCCCCTTAATTGAAATTCACGTACAAACCTAGATTAAATGAGTTCATTAGTCTTGAGCCCATTTGCCAGCTGTCACCTTTGCCCCTCGTTCCTTAGATTGCCCGTCACGTACTGAGTGGTGCCCCTTCTGTTCATCTCACCACTGTGGTTTCCTTGCTACTCGATTTTGTTGTTTTGTTCACTCACTTATTTACTCGCTTGTCCCTGCATCTAATTCTTACTGTCTGCCTGTATCAGGCTCTGAGCTGGGTGCTATGGAGATGGTTCTACATACTGTTAACTTCAAGTTTAATCAGTGAGACTTTTAGGATCAGCTCCAATTTGGTGGCTTGTATGACTCAGTTGTTTCCAAAACTTCTAATGTTTTTACATCAGCTCTGGCAAGATATTTGCTGACCAAATGAGCCAGCACTTGGACTAGGAGAGAACAAGGGGCTCTCAGGCCAGGCAGACTCCAGGTGTGGAATCACAGCTCTGAAATTCCACCTGTACTTGCTCTTTCATGGCTGTACTTGATCATCCCTTTGTATCTGGGACTTTCTCCCCTCTGCAGGCATGTTGAATTGTTTTGGTTTTGCCTGTGCTTTCCCTCTGTTATCTTCCATCATCCACCTGAGAGTAGTGTACTAGTCATTCAATATCCAATTCAAATGTTATCTGTTTGTGAAAACTTTGGTGGCCACTCTTTTCTTTCTTAGCACCTGCTGCATCCTTTATCACAACAGTGATGGGTACCACCTGCCCGGGCTGGCTTATTCATCTGGGTATCCTCAGCTTCAGGCAGGGGATAGTATGACCAGCCCCAAGGCAGCCTTTGTTCTTTTAGGTCAAAAAGGATGCTTTCCCTCCAAGCCCTGACTTCTCACTCCAAGGCTGCTCTCCAGAATAGACTACACTTCAAAGTAGTAGAGGAACAGCCCTATAGGACCTCAGTCCCTAGAGAGTTGGTCACTTATAGAGGCCGAATGAGGACATTGTCAGTAACTCCAGAACTCTCTGCTTCCAGAACTGCTCCGAGTGCAAGGAGAAGAAGGCAGCACATATCCTGTGCACTTACTGCAATCGCTGGCTGTGCAGTTCCTGCACTGAGGAGCACCAGCACAGCCCTGGACCTGGGGGCCCACTCTTTCCCCGGACCCAGAAAGGATCACCAGGTACCACAGCCCGCTCTCCCCACTGGCTCCCATGCCCTGGTGCAAAAGTCCTTGTCAATAACTCTGACCTTGTTTCCCTGCTGGGAAGGAAAGAAAGGGTAGCCCCAGAGTCTTTCCCAGAGGAAGGAAGTTTCCTTCAGAGTCTAGCCTCTCCCCCATGGGGAGTCGGGGTACGTGAATGTGGTGAGAATGTGGGAGAATGGTCTTGAATTACCATGGGAGCTAGATGAGTTCCCTGTGTTCCACCTCTGTTTAGAACAATCATGCTGCATTTCTGTTTTGTCGTTTGTTTAGGTTAGCAGTGGTGGGAGTTCAGGGGTCAGAGCTTGTCCATTTGTCCATCTAGCACTAACTCTTTTAATTTTTTTAAAGATTTATTTATTTGAAAGTCAGAGTTACAGAGAGAGAAGGAGAGAGAGAGAGAGAGAGAGAGAGAGAGAAGTCTTCCATCCACTAGTTTGCTCTCCAATTGTCCACAACGGCCTGAGCTGTGCTGATCCAAAGCCAGGATCCAGGAGCGTCTTCTGGGTCTCCCATGCGGGTACAGGGGCCCAAGGACTTGGATCATCTTCCACTGCTTTCCCAGGCCACAGCAGAGAGCTGAATCGGAAGTGGAGCAGCCGGGACTAGAACCGGCACCCATATGGGATGCCGACACTGCAGGCGGCAGCTTTTACCTGCCAGGCCACAGCACTGGCCCCAGGACTATCTCTTTTAAATGACACTTCCTGGCCGGCGCCGCGGCTCAATAGGCTAATCCTCCACCTTGTGGTGCTGGCACACCGGGTTCTAGTCCCGGTCGGGGCGCCGGATTCTGTCCTAGTTGCCCCTCTTCCAGGCCAGCTCTCTGCTGTGGCCCGGGAAGGCAGTGGAGGATGGCCCAAGTGCTTGGGCCCTGCACCCCATGGGAGACCAGGATAAGTACCTGGCTCCTGCCTTCGGATCAGTGTGATGCGCTGGCTGCAGCGCGCCAACCGTGGCGGCCATTGGAGGGTGAACCAACGGCAAAAGGAAGACCTTTCTCTCTGTCTCTCTCTCTCACTGTCCACTCTGCCCTGTCCCAAAAAAAAAAAAAAAAAAAAAAAAAAAGACACTTCCTGAAAGTCTGTTCCCAAGGCTTTTGAATTGTGGTGGTGGTGGGGAGGGGAGTGAGGGGATTTACGTTTGTCAGACACATGGGAATCAAATTTGTGATCTAGCCTGTAACCTGGCAAGGCTGATAGCTGGTTTTAGCCCCACAATAACTGAATCCTGATTAATGAAGAGTTTAGGTTAATTTTGGAGGATTCATTATTCTGCAGGAGATCCATGTGCAGCAGTAGAAAGCCCTGTCCTCAACCCCTGGCAGGTGGTGGGATGCTGGGGCTTCATGGGGTCTGTTTCTGGGCAGCAGAGCAAATCCACCCAAGCTAAACCTGAATTCTTCCTCGCGCCCATGGACCCTCACTGCTGGAAAGAGGCATCCTCTGTTTGCATCACCTTCTCACAAGCTCTGTGTCTCTGCGGTGTCCAAGGAGAGCCGAGGGCTGCTTAGCAGGATTTAGCTGAGAGATCTATGCTAGTGAGAGAATCTCACTTTCTCCATCTTCTCTGGCAGGAGTGAATGGTGGTTCTGGGGACTTTGCTTTGTACTGTCCTCTACACACACAGGAAGTACTCAAGCTGTTCTGCGAGACCTGTGACGTGCTCACCTGCCATAGCTGTCTAATGGTGGAACACAAAGAACACAGGTGGGGCTGGTGACTGCCTGGAGTGTGCTTGGAGGGTTCTGGACTCCCCATGCATCAAAATCCTCTCTCTGCCCAGGCCAACCTTCAGCCCCTTGGGCTGAAGTTTTTCTCTGCTCTTGTAGGCTACTCTGGAAAAGGCCTAATGGGCCAAGAGCCTGTAGTGCCTTTGACTTTCCCTAGATGTCCCATGGCCTCCCTAGGCCTGGCAGAGATGGTGCGCTCTGGGGATTTCTGCTTGGCTGGTACACTCAGAGTAGGACTCAGGTCTCCTTTGCCTTTTCCTTGCCTCCTCTCCAGGTGCAGACATGTTGAAGAAGTATTGCAAAACCAGAGGATGCTTCTGGAAAGTGTGACTACGCAGGTGGCACATAAGAAATCCAGTCTACAGACATCTGCAAAGCAAATCGAGGACAGGTAGCACAGGCTAGTTCTTTGCCATTGCTGGAAATGCTCCTTCCCTCACATCCTGGGTTCAGCACCAGGTCGTCAGAGGTGGTCCCTATGAAGAGGACGTATCTGTGGTTAAGCAGATGTGGGCACATGTCCTAGAAGACGTGTGTCTTGACCCTAGTCTCAGAGCCATTGTGGGATCCTTGGGGCATCGCTTGGTGACTGAGGTCAAACTGTGTCGCTCCCCCTCTTCGTGGAGGAACGACACTAAACCCTGCCTAGGCTTCATATCCGAGTCACGGCACCATTATGTCGCTCCCCGTCTTCGTGGAGGAACGACACAGGACCCTGCGCTGTTCTTTCGTCTGCTCGGCCCTCCCCGGGTTTGCTGCTGGTTCTTCCCGGGTTGGCTACTATCCCTTCCACCTCCGTGGAAGGGCAGTTCCCCCTGGCCACATTCCCCACTTCCGCAGGGGAGCGGCACACCGCCGGCCGGCTCTTCTCGGGGGCTGCACAGGTGTTCCCCTTAGATGTTCCCCATAGATGTTCCCCGGTGCATGCCGTCTCTCTCCTCCTTTATAGTCCTCCTTCGCCAATCCTAACTCGGATGCCCACACACCGAGTACGCTGCTCTCCAATCAGGAGCAAGTCCTACAGTTTATTGGTTGAACTGGAGGCAGCTGTGCGGAAGCTGTTTACTTCTCTCCCAGCACCATATTGTGGGAGAGCAGATGCATAGAATAAGTCTTAATTCCAGTAACTCAGTCTAGTCCGGTTTGCTCCACACAAAACTGGACCAGTACAATTGGAGTGAGTCTGGACTACAGTATGTGCATTATGAGTGAGCCAGAAATAAGTGCTTGAGAATGAGAATGCAGAGTAGATACTGGAGAAGAGACCATGTTTATCATGAGGATGTAGCAAGTTCATGGCAATTTGTTCTTATTTTTTTTTTTTTTCTTTACCAGGCACGAGTGGTTTAGTGAGAGAGAGACAGAGAGAAATGTCTCCCTTTTGTCGTTGGTTCACCCTCCAATGGCCGCCGCGGCTGGTGCACTGCGGCCTGCACACCGCGCTGATCCGAAGCCAGGAGCCAGGTGCTTCTCCTGGTCTCCCATGGGGTGCAGGGCCCAAGCACTTGGGCCATCCTCCACTGCACTCCCTGGCCACAGCAGAGAGCTGGCCTGGAAGAGGGGCAACCGGGACAGAATCCGGCGCCCCGACCGGGCCTAGAACCCGGTGTGCCGGCGCCGCTAGGTGGAGGATTAGCCTATTGAGCCACGGCGCTGGCTGCAATTTGTTCTTTATCACCCATTTCCTGGCGTTTTCCATACAAATCTACAAATAATGTGAACTCTGACTTTATTTTTTTTTTTCACAAGAAGAGCAAGTAGTATGTAATGAGAGCTCAACACATGGCAGGCACTGGCTTGGGCATCGTGGGTATATTCTTTTGTTCTATTCTTCCAATCAGGGATTGACTCCATTTTACAGATGAGGAGACTAAGGTTCAGAGAGGTTAGGTGACTTATCTGAGGTCACACAGCTAATCAGTGACTGGGCTGGTTTAGAAGACATGTCTGTGGTGACTTCAAAGCCTACGCTCTGTGTTTTTAAAACAGCTTTGTTAGATATAATTTACATATGTAAAACCACTCTTTGAAATGTACAATCCAATGATTTTTGGTGTATTCACAGAATTATGCAATAATATGTAATTGTTAACCTGTTTTTAGAACATTTCCATCTCTCCAGAAGAAACCCCATATATATTATTACTTTCCATTCCCCTTACACCTCTACTCCGCAGAAACCACTAATCTACTTTCTGTCTCTGCCCATACTCTTTTTTTTTGTTTGTTTGAAAGTCAGAGTTACACAGAGAGAGAAGGAAAGGCAGAGAGAAAGAGAGGGCTTCCATCCACTGGTTCACTCTCCAGATGGCTGCAAAAGCTGGAGCTGTGCCGATATGAAGCCAAGAGCTTCTTCTAGGTCTCCCACGTGGGTGCAGGGGCCCAAGCACTTGGGCCATCTTCTACTGCTTTCCCAGGCCATAGAAGAGATCTGGATTGGAAGTGGAGCGCCCATATGGGATGCCGGCACTGCAGATGGTGGATTTACCCGCTATGCCACAGTGCCCGGCCCCCTCTATCCATGCTCTTTTCACCTCATGGCACAGTTTATTGTAGCATCTTCATTTTTTTTTTTTTTTAAGATTTATTTATTTGAAAGGCAGAGTTACAGAGATAGAGAGAAGGGGAGACAAAGAGAGAGACCTCCCATCTGGTGGTTCACTACCCAAATGGCCACAACATCCAGAACTGAGCCAGTTCTCCCACATGGGTGCAGGGGCCCAAACACTTGGGCCATCCTCTGCTGCTTTTCCAGGCACATTAGTGGGAACTAGATTGGATGTGGGGCAGCTGGGACTCAAATGGGCAGCCATGTTGGATGCCGGTACTGCAGGCTGGGGCTTTAACCCACTGAGCCACAGCGCCAGCCTCCTGTCTTCTTTTTTAAGACAAGTAACAACATGACATCAAACCCATATTCACACTTTCTGTCCTGCCTCTGGTGTTGATGAGCTGCTCAGTTGACCTGGATTTGGATTTGAGGTTTATCTGGAGAAAACCAAGTTGAACTCAGTGCACTTAGAGCAAGTGTGCTGGGTTGTGCCTAGGGTAGGGTGGTGGAGGAAGGTTCTCTTTTCTTTATATTTGGTGCTTTTTAGGCCCTGTTCTAGGCAGCCCCTGGTTCATTGCCTGTTACGTTTGCTGTCTCCCAGCCCTCAGAGGCCATGTGGGAAAGGCTCACTGTATTTTCTTCCATCATGTTTACAGGATTTTTGAAGTGAAGCATCAGCATAGGAAGGTGGAAAACCAGATCAAAATGGCTAAGATGGTTCTGATGAATGAGCTGAACAAACAGGCCAACGGACTCATAGAGGAACTGGAGGTAAATATGGATAGATGGTTTGGATGGATGGGCCCTATGCCCTCTCCGGGTCAGAAACCAGACAAATGTCAAACTGGCTAGAATTCAGATATGTAATTTCTATAACTCTGCTGCTTCTTTTTCTTTTTTTTTTTAAGATTTATTTGAAAGGCAGAAATAGAGGGAGAGAGAGAGAAAGAGATCTTCCATCTACTGGTTCACTTCCTAAATAGCCACAACAGCCAGGGCCAGAACAAAGCCAGGAGCCAGGAGCTTCAACCCATCTCCCACATGGGTACAGAGGCCCAAGTACTGGGCCATCTTCTGCTGCTTTCCCAGGCTGTTAGCAGGGAGCTGGATCAGAAGTGGAGCAGCTGAGACTTGAACCAGCACCCATATGGGATGCTGGCACTGTAGGTGGAGGCTTAATCTTCTATGCCACAGTGCTGGCTTCTGCCTTTTTTTTTTTTTATTTATTAAAGATTTATTTATGGGGCCGGTGCTGTAGTGCAGTGGGTTAAAGCCTTGGCCTGAAGCGCCGGCATCCTGGAGTCCTGGCTGCTCCTCTTCCGATCCAGCTCTCTGCTATGGCCTGGGATAGCAGTAGAAGATGGCCCAAGTCCTTGGGCCCCTGCACCTGTTCGGAGACCCTCTCTCTGTAATTCTTTCTTTCAAATAAAATAAAAAAATTTATTTGAAAGTTAGAGTCATATGGAGAGAGAAGGAGAAGCAGAGGTAGAGAGGTCTTCCATCCGCTGGTTCACTCCCCAGTTGGACACAATGGCCAGAGTTGTGCCGATCCAAAACCAGGAGCCTGGAGCTTCCTCTGGATCTCTGAATGGGTGCAGGGGCCCAAGGACTTGGGCCATCCTCTACTGCTTTCCCAGGCCATAGCAGAGAGCTGGATTAGAAGTGGAGCAACTGGGACTTGAATTGGCACCCATATGGGATGCTGGCACTGCTGGTGACAGCTTTATCTACTAAGCCACAGTGCTGGCCCCCTGCCTCTGCTTTTGGTATCATAAAATGTTGAGCCTAATTATGAGATGGTAGCTCATTAAAGACTGGAAAATCAGTTTAAACCCTTAACAATATTGCAGATCTTAGGGAGCTGCCATCTTTGTGCAGGGTTATAGTATTGGAACATGGAGACATGAAACAACTGACCTTCTTCAGAGGTTATGTACAAGAAATATAGACATTAGTTCTTTCATCACTCATTCCATATTTGCCACTATAAAGTCTCCCACTGTCTCTCCCTCCCCTCCTCCTACCCAACAGCAGCCCCTGGCAGCAGCACTCTGTCCTGCTGCCCTCCTCTCAGGGGTGCAGTCTCCTCTGATTACATCATTGTCCACACTGATAACACAGCCCATCAGACTTCCTAAGCAAGTGAACTGTCATCCAAGAACAGGACTCAGGAACTCTGTCTTCTGTCTCTACCCAGGGCATTACTAATGAGAGAAAGCGGAAACTGGAACAGCAGTTACAGAGCATCATGGTTCTCAACCGTCAGTTTGAGCATGTGCAGAATTTTATCAATTGGGCTGTCTGCAGCAAAACAAGTATCCCTTTCCTTTTCAGCAAGGAACTGGTAAGAGGAATCCCCTACTTGAAGCAGTTGAGAGCACTATCTCTGTCACAACGGCAGTGAAATGCCTTTCTTTAGGTTGAAAGGAGGCGTGAGATAGCACCTCCATCCATCTTTCAAGTTCAATCATTGTGTTTTGGTTAATAGTAAGAGAACCCTACTTTCTACCCATTCCCATAGCACAAAGAACTCAGGTGCTGAAATGATCCGACCTCCTTCCAGGTAACTCAGCCGGGAAATATGTAGCTCCTTGTTTTAGCTCAAGGATTATTATCCTGGATGTGAACAATGTGCTGAGGAGTCCATAGAAAGCTGCTGGGCTCTGGGGGCCTAAGAGGAAAGGAGGAGTTGAAGATGATGTTGAAATGTTGGGTTTGGGATGATGGTGATGCCCAGGAGAAGGGAGAATTTGAGAGAAGCTTGTGAGGTTTGTATTTGGATATGTTGAGTCTAATGTGCTGGCAGAGCATCTGAAAGGAGACTTCCAGAAGCTGCTTTGTTAGATGAGTCTGAGAGTCAAGAGAAATGTCAGGGTTGGTCAGGGTTGTATTTAGGAGTCTCTGAGGTATCAGTTGGGATAGCCTCGGGAGAGTGTGTGGAAGAAGAAGAGAGAAGGTCTTGAATACCATCATTTTCATCATAGAGTGAAGGAGAGTTGAAGGTAGTGGTCAGAGGTTTGAGGAGAAATAGGAATGTGTGGTGCACAGAAGGTTCAGAGTGGTCACTGTTGTCCAGGATATATAGGTGAAAGAAGATGAATGGTGAAGAGAGGCCTTGAGATTTTGGAATCACTAAATCCATGGTGATCTTTTTTTTTAAAAAAAAGATTTTATTTATTTATTTGAGAGGTAGAGTCACAGATATAGAGAGGGAGAGACAGAGAGAAATTTCTTCCATCTGCTGGTTCACTCCCCAAATGGCCACAACAGCTACAACTGGGCTGATACAAAGATAGGAGCCAGGAATTTCTTCCAGGGGCCCAAGCACTTGGGCCATCTTCTGCTTTCCCAGGCCATAGCACAGAGCTGGATCAGCTGGGACTAGAACCGGCGCCCCATGGGATGCCAGTGCCGCAATCAGAGAATTAACCTATTGCACCACAGCATTGGCTCCCCTTGGTGATCTTTTGAAAGAAGCTCTGAGCACTCTAAGTAAGAGGGCAAAAGCCACCAAGAGGAGCCTGATGATGGCAAATGAGGATGTAGAGACAGAAATGAAAAGAAGGGAAGTCAGTAGCTTGAGAAGGGGGAGGGTTGGAGGAACTTTGCACACATCAAGCAATATGGGAGAATAGGTTGAAGACAGAGATGTGTGGCGGAGTGAGCACACTGAGAGAGCAGGGAGAGAGGAGGCAGATGCAGTGAAGTGCTCTGAGCTCCAGCTTCACTTCAAGGATATTCCCCTCCTCTGAGCTGGAGGACAGGAAGGGAGCAGTGTAACGGAGTTAAGTGTGGAGGTAGGAGGGATACAAGTTGGGGGAGTCTGTCCTTTATGGTGTCTTTTTTCCTCTGTGAAGTAGGAGGTAATAAGAGGCATTGAGTAAGGAACACTGAAGGAAAGATTGTAAGTAGGATAGTGGAAGAGGAATCTGACAAGAAAGGCAGTGACAAGAAGGACTGCAGAGTGCCCCTGACATTACTGATGCCTGAAGTGGCCCCAGATAACATGGCCTTGAGATGGCAGGACTGAGCTAAGGTTAGGAATTGGTGACGGGGAGAAGATTAGGGAACTAGTGATGTGTTACTGAAGAAGATGTTAAGCTGGGAAGACCCTATGGACTGAAGGAGTAGGGCTTGCAGAGTTCAGAACTGAACTAGTTATGAGCAGCAAAGAAGTTGTTGGAGTTCAATGCCTCGTGGATAGGATGGTTCTACACAATGAATAGGATCAGGGTATGGTGACTGAACTGAACATAGAGATGTTGACTGACATTAAGGAGCTAAAGTAAGTAAGAAGCCAAGATGTTGGCTGGGTTGTTAGTTAACTAGATGATGTCAGGATAAGTTGGACATTTGCCAAAGTCCTAGAAAAATGGGAATTAGTGGTGGGAAACAGATGAAGGCACTGACAGAGGAAGAGGGAAATTGACTGGGATGGAAATTGATAGGTAGAAGGACACCTGTGGGGAACTTGGAGAATATCCGCCCTTTTAGGCTTTTGAATTGAGGTGATGGTAGAATGAATAAGGCTACTAGGCAAATGATATCCTGAGGGAGAATTACAAATCACTTGAGGCCTGGAAGAGAAAGGATTATTAGGAATTCCAAGAGCCATGATACTAGGAAGGGGATCTGCTGGGAGGATGGGGAGGCACTAAGATGCAAGGAAATGAAAAGTTGAGGGTGGGGGGTGAGGTTTGACCAGAGGCTAGAAGCTGTGACTTTGAACTCTTCAACCTGTCCTAACAGTGAGCTAAAGGGAATTTCATCCAGACACAAGATGCCCAAATAAATGACCTTTGGTGCTGTTGTCAGATTGTGTTTCAGATGCAGCGATTACTGGAGACTAGCTGTAACACAGATCCTGGCTCCCCTTGGAGTATCAAATTCACCTGGGAGCCTAACTTCTGGACCAAGCAACTGGCTTCCCTTGGTGAGTCAGGGCCCTCCCTGTAGCCTCTGACCCAATTGCAAATGAATGTAGAGCAGTAGGTACTTGGCCCAACAATGAAGATACAGGTTAGGGTGCCTGTATCCCATAACTGAGTACCTCAGTTTAATTTCTGGTTTTGGCTCTGACTCTTGACTCCAGCTTCCCACTAATACAGACACTGGGAAGCACCTGTGATGGCTCAAGTAATTGAGTTTCTGCTACCCACCTGGAAGACCTTGATTGCGTTTCAAGCTCCCGGTTTGGGCCCAGACCAGCGCTAGTTGTTGTGGGCAAAAAAAGAAAGAAAGAAAAGATAATAGCGTGTTTGCTGAACTCACTGGTTAAGTCAGCACACGCTCAAGATTAAGCACTTCCTAAGACTGTCAGTGGTCATGAACTTAGCTCAGCAACCCATTTTTTGGAAGGGGAAGGGGAGAATGAAGCGGGTAAATCACTGTGGCAATACAGGAATTTGTAATGGGATCAGTTCAAGCCTGTGTTTCACAGTCTACATGAATGTCCCTGTTACCTTGGTCACACAGGGTGTATGTGTATAGACACAAGCAGGGATATCTCAGCAACAGTGAGGACATGTGTGCGTGTTACACACACTGTTTTTTTTTTTTTTAAGATTTATTTATTTGAAAGTCAGGGTTACACAGAGAAGAAAAGGCTTGAGATAGAGAGATCTTCCATCCGCTAGTTCACTCCCCAATTGGCTACAACAACTGGAGCTGTGCCAATCCGAAGCCAAGAGCCAGGAGCTTCTTCCAGGTCTCCCACATGGATATAGGGGCCCAAGGACTTGGGCCATCTTCCACTGCTGTCCCAGGCTACAGCAGAGAGCTGGATAAGGAGTGGAGCAGCCGGGACTCCCAACTGGCGCCCATATGGGATGCCAGCAAGGCAGGCGGTGGCTTTACTTGCTACGCCATAGTGCCAGCCCTACGCACGTCCTTTGGAGTTGAGTTTTAGGCAGATTATTCATGACCTTGTGCATTCCCCTCCCACCCCAACAATTTGCTGGTGTTCATCTTTAGGCAGTGTGTAGAAAACTCAAAGTTGTACCTGTGTTGACATTCTAGTGAGCTTGTTAAAGTAATGGCTAACTATTGCCTTCATTTGAAGTTTTGAACTTCATGTGAACTTGAGAAAATGATAAATAAATAAATTATATTTAGGTTTTTTGTTTATTTGTTTGTTTACCTCACCCCTTTGATTTAATTCAGCAGACATTTGAGGGGCACCTGCTCTAGGTTAAGCCCCATGCTGGGCACAAAAAAACAAAGGTGAATAAAACACACCCTTTACCCTTAAGGAGCTTAGTCTTCCCCTAAGTGAGCCTCATCAAAACAATGTGGTTAGGCCGGCGCCACAGCTCACTAGGCTAATCCTCCACCTAGCGGCGCCGGCACACCGGGTTCTAGTCCCGGTTGGGGCGCCAGATTCTGTCCCGGTTGTCCCTCTTCCAGGCCAGCTCTCTGCTGTGGCCAGGGAGTGCAGTGGAGGATGGCCCGAGTGCTTGGGCCCTGCACCCCATGGGAGACCAGGATAAGTACCTGGCTCCTGGCTCCTGCCATCGGATCAGCGCGGTGCGCCGGCCGCAGCGCGCCGGCCGTGGCTGCCATTGGAGGGTGAACCAACGGCAAAGGAAGACCTTTCTCTCTGTCTCTCTCTCTCACTGTCCACTCTGCCTGTCAAAAAAATAAAAAAATTAAAAAAAAAAAACAAAAAACAATGTGGTTAAGGAGCCCTTGACAGAGGTAGCCAGACATATATTCTACTCGCGTGCAAAGGACACAGAGACCTTAGAGAGCAGTGCTAGTGTCTGGAACTGATCCTGGATTGGAGCTTCCCTGCTTCCATCCAACTGGCCCGTACCTGGAGACCTGTACTTGGAGCATCTGCTCATTTGTCCCAGGGACGACTTTCCATCTTTTGCTACTTTCCAGCACTCCCTCCCACCTCCAAATATTGACTCCTTTTGTCAGATTCTCAATTGGAGTATGTCAGAAAAGGAGTAGGAGCTTGTGGTTTCCCTAGTCGGATAGAAACAGTCAGGGCTGAGCACCTGGGTAAAGCTGAGCTAATTTCTCAAATATCCTAGGCCCCCAAAGCAGGTCCGTACAAGTGCTAGACACTGTAGGCATACAGTGTCTCTGAACTGAGTCTTGGAGATTAGGGGTTGAAGTTCTTAATCGCTGTGTCTGGTAGAGGTTTTTGGGTGATGTTCTTTGGTCCTAGGAGCAAGCAGTAGCAAGGGAAGGCAACTGCGGATTACCTTTGGAAAAACTCTCTGTTCTGAATTTCCAGGCTGCATAACTACTGAAGGCGGACAGCAATCCCGGGCAGATACTCTTGCTTATGGAGGCTCACAGGGGACGTCATCCTTTTATCAAAGCCACCAATCCCCTGTGGCTCAGCAGGAGGCTCTAAACCATCCCCCACACAAGTTCCAGGCTCCGGCACTGTGTTCCTCATCTGTGTGCTGCTCCCACTGCACCCCAGTCTCACCTTCCCTTAAAGGCCAGGTGCCCCCACCCAGCATACACGCAGCCCATGGCTTTAGGCAACCCTCTGAGATGGTGTCCCAACAGCTGGGGTCAATGCAGTGTCCCACCCTGCAACCCAGGGAGAAAGAGCTGGCCTGCAGTCCGCATCCACCAAAGCTGCTCCAGCCCTGGCTGGAAACCCAGCCTCCTGTGGAGCAGGAGAGCACATCCCAGCGGCTGGGGCAGCCGCTGACTTCCCAGCCCGTGTGCATCGTCCCTCCGCAGGATGTCCAGCAAGGAGCCCACGCCCCGCCCACCTTACAGACACCCTCTATCCAAGTCCAGTTTGGCCACCACCAGAAGCTGAAGCTCAGTCACTTTCAGCAGCAACCACAGCAGCAGCTGCCACCTCCACCACCTCCAGCCCTGCAGCAGCCACCCCCACCTCTACCTCCATCCCAGCACGTGGTGTCTAGTCAGCACGAGAGCCCCCCTGGGCCTGCCTGCTCCCAGAATGTGGACATAATGCACCACAAGTTTGAGCTGGAGGAAATGCAGAAGGACTTGGAGCTGCTTCTTCAGGCTCAGCAGCCCAGCCTGCAACTGAGTCAGACCAAGTCTCCTCAGCATCTTCAGCAAACCATTGTGGGGCAGATCAACTACATCGTGAGGCAGCCGGCTCCCGTCCAGTCCCAGAGCCAGGAGGACACTCTTCAGGTGAGCCTCAGGGTGGTTTGGGGCTTCTATTCTCCTCCCCTAGGACTGCTCAGGGAATGCCTTCTTCCCAGTCACAGGGTGTCACAGGAAGACAGTTTCTTCATCTTAGGGTGGCCTTGAGCTCACCCCTCACATTTTAAAAGTGCCTTGGGCTCAACCTCCCATCTCAGGAAGGCTCTAGAAAACATAGACCTGGTCCCAGTAGGCAGCTGGTCTTGATGCCCCCCACGGAGCCCTGGCTCTGCCCTGTCTTCCTGGGTGACACAAGGGAACTTGCCCACAGATAGCCCCTTCTGAGTGGGCCTGGACTCCTGCCAGTGCCAGAGTAGAAAGGGGGTGGCTATCTCTTGTCTTTACAGCCTTGCAGCTCCCTTGCTGGGAACTTATGAATGCCAGACAGGGGGACCGAGAGTACTTAGAGAGTGGATTGAGGGAATGCAGTAGATCCTAGTGGGTAACGCTGTACAGGTGTAGACTTTACTTCACATCTGCTAGGCTAGATAGATAAGTTTTATGTACATTCTATCATTGATCCTATCAACAACACTTTTAAGTGTGACCACCTATATTTTATAGATACAGAAGTCTGGGTTCGGGAGGGCAAGCAGTTTGCCTAGAGTTCATTCAACACTGAGAGGTAGAGCCAAGACTCAGATCCAGGTCTGCTGGCTTTCCTGTAATGCCGCAGAAGAGGCCTTGTTCTCTCCTTGGGGGATAGTAACTATTGCTCCTCTTTTTTTTCTCAGCTAAAAGACAGTTGAAGAGGTGTAGTATGTACCTCTGGGATATTTGCAGCATTTTCATTTTTAGCTCTTATTTTTTCCCCAGAACCTCCTGCTCCAGCTTCTTCTCCCTGCCACTTTCCCCTTTTTCTTCAGTATTATCTTGTTTAGATCTGTAATCACATATATATTTTCAAATTAGTTCTAGAGACTTTTGCTTAATTACAAAATATAGTGCCTTACACTTATGCTTTAGCACTGACAACTTCAGATAATGCTTCAAATGTCTTCCCCCAAGGCTTCCTTAATTCCTTTGAAGGGATATTTAACAATCCCTGTCATCACAGAGAAGGGACTAGAGTTCATAGAGGGCTACAAGCTAAAGCTAAGTAAAAATTTATTTTATGATCACTCAAGTGAATATGACAGAATTAGTTCAGAATTCTCCTAGGTTTGGGTTCTATCCTAAGGCTGTCAAGCTAAGATGGATTCTTAAGGAAAATTTAGACAAGAGTATTTTTCTTTTCCACAGTGTGTGGGTAGTGACCGTGGGCAGGGCAGGGTGGGCGTTGGTCCTCACTGCTGCTTATTCCGCCACTGCTGCTCTCCGTGTGAAATCCACCTAAATTCCTATTTTCTTCTCCAGGCTACAGATGAGTCCCCTGCATCTGAGGGCCCAAAGCCAGCTCTCCCTGTTGACAAGAATACTTCTTCTACTACCTTGCCCCAGACATCTGGGGAAGAAATTCCTCACATTGTCCCCCCAGTGGATAGCACCGTCCAGCACTCCTCTCCAAATGTGGTGAGAAAGGTACTAATGGTGCCTGCTTTCCCTGATCACACAGGACCCACTGCCAGCCAACTCCCCAGGCACCTGGACGAGGCTGATGGGGCGGGGGGTGGAGTGTCCCTGTTCCATGCACAGATGCTGCACAGTCCTGACTCATGCCTTCTGTCCTAATGAGTCAGCTACATAGTCCATCCCCATTCCCACTCCCACATGTATGCTTAAAATGAACCTACTGGCTTCATTTAGAGTGGAAGAGGACAGGGAGAGAGCCAGTTTATTGAACACTTATTCTGTACATATAACTATATATGGTGCTTCACAAGCATGATCTCACTTAATCTTCCCAATATTTGTGTGAGATGGCATAATTAATATTGTATGTATAGTTAAGAAAATTGAAGTCCAAGGCCCTACAGCTAGAAGAAGAGAGAGATGTGATCTACTTAAAATGAAATAGGTCTGAATCCAAAGCCTGAAATTTGTTTTTCCTCAGCAATGAAAATATTTTACATGGCCCCCACAACCCCAAGTTGGTTGGCCTTAGAATTTGAATCAATGGAATCTATTGGTGAGTGGTCCACAAGGATGTCATGCAGAGGTCACTGAGCACCTAGAAGCATTGAGGTCTCTTGAAAATGAGCAATTGGAGGTCTTCCTGTTCCCCTGCTTTCCAGCTTGCTAGACATGTTCACTTATCCTGGCAGTAATCCAGAAACCCAAACTCCTCAGCTATTTGCTGCCACTCGGCCCCTTACTCTTCAGCCCTGTAATCCTTTTAGCTGAAACCTCAGTACTCTGACATGACCTCCATCCATCCCTCCCTGGGTCCCTTAGTCCTGTTCCACTTATCCTATTGCCTTCTCTGGTATGTTGCCTTCAGCCCTCCTGGTACCTCCACTCAGCCCAGGACTTGAAGCTCTTTCAGCTATTCTGTACCTTCCCAAACCATACCCTTAGCACTACAACAACCCTGTGGTCCTGCAATCCCAACTCTGCTAGCTGCTCTGTGTACTTACCCCTCATCAAGTTTCTCCAGCAACACCATTGTCATCTAGAAATGTGTCTGTCTCAGTGACACTTGAGAGGCAAGTTTAGATGAGGAAGGAATGGGGCTGGCATTGTGGCACAATGGGTTAAGCCACTGTTTGTAGTGCAAGCATCTCAAACCATAATGCTGGTTTGACTCCTAGCTACTCTAATGCACCTGGGAAGACAGTGGATGATGGTCTAAGCACTTGGGCCCCTGCCACCCATGGGGAAGGCCAGAATGTGGTTCTTGGTTCTGTTGTAGCCATTAAGGTAGTAAACCAGCTGGTTGAAGTTGAAGTCTCTCTCTCTCTCTCTCTCCCTCCCTCCCTCTTCCCTTTCTCTCTCTCAAAGAAAAGACAGGAAGGGATGGCACAAATGAAATGATAACTTGGAAGTTCCTGGTGATACTTGAAGTTTTGAGAAGGCCTAATGATATTAGTGGCTTTTTATCTGTACCTATCCTAGAAGTTTAACTTTTTTTTTAAAGATTTATTTACTTATTTGAAAGAGGTACACACAGAGTTGAGAAGCAGAGAGAGAGAAAGAGAGAGAGAGAGAGAGAGAGAGAGAGAGGTTTTCCATCCGCTGGTTCACTCCCCAGATGGCCACAACAGCCGGACCTGTGCCGATCCGAAGCAGGAGCCAGGAGCTTCTTCCGGGTCTCCCACGTGGGTACAGGGGCCCAAGGACTTGGGCCATCTTCTACTGCTTTCCCAGGCTACAGCAGAGAGCTGGATCAGAAGTGGAACAGCTGGGCCTCGAACCTGCGCTCATATGGGATGTTGGTGGTTCAGGCCAGGGCATCAACCTGCTGCGCCACAGCGCCAGCCCTGAGGTTTAACTTATTATACTTGAGTCAGCCACTACCAATCCGTTTACTTATTTATTCAATGTCAGAAATACAGGTTGAATATCTCTTATTTGAAATGCTTGGGAATAGAAATGTTTGAGATTTTGAATTTTTTTTGGACTTTGGAACATTTGCATATGCATAATGAGTATGTTAAGGATGGGACCCAAGTATAAACACAAAATCCATTTGTTTCATTTATACCTTAAAAAAATTTTTTTTGACAGGCAGAGTTAGAGAGTTAGAGTGAGAGAGACAGAGAGAAAGGTCTTCCTTCCATTGGTTCACCCCCAAATAGCTGCTACGGCCGGCACGCTGCACCGATCCGAAGCCAGGAGCCAGGTGCTTCCTCCTGGTCTCCCATGCAGGTGCAGGGCCCAAGCACTTGGGCCATCCTCTACTGCCTTCCCAGGCCACAGCAGAGAGCTGGACTGGAAGAGCAGCAACCGGGACAGAATCTGGCGCCCCAACTAGGACTAGAACCTGGGGTACCTGTGCCGCAGGCTGAGGATTAGCCTAGTGAGCCATGGCACCGGCCTTAAAAATTTTTTTTAAATTTGATTTGAAAGGCAGAATTACAGAGGGAGGGAGGGAGGGAGGGAGAGAGAGAGAGAGAGAGAGAGAGATCTTTCATCTGCTAGTTCACTCTCCAAATAGCTGCAATGTCTGAGGCTAGGCTAGGCTGAAACCAGGAGCCTGGAACTCCATCTGGATCTCCCACATGAAAGACTTGGGCCATCTTCCACTGCTTTCCTAGGCACATTAGCAGGGACTGGATCAGAAGTGGAGCAGCCAGGACTTGAACGGATGCCTATATGAGATACTGACATTGTAGATGGTGGCTTAACCTATTATGCCACAACACTGACCCCTTGTGTATACCTCATGTGCATAGTCTGAAGATAATTTTATACAGTATTTTTAGTGTGCTTGTGTTTTTACTACTACCTATCATGTGAGGTTAGGTGTGAAATTTTCTATTTGCAGTGTCATGTCAGTGCTCCAAAATTTTTGAATTGTGGAACATTTTGGATTTTGGATTTTTGGATTAGGGAGTCTTAGCCTGCATGTGTGTGTATGTATATATCTCTTAGTATGTGTCATATGTTACTCACCAGGCACACACTGATGAATTACATAATCCCACATTGGAGCTTACCATCTTGTGGGAAAGAGAGTTAAATAAGAAATGGCAGGAAAACTGTGATGAAGTGTTGTGATAGTCATTGAAGTGTACCCTGATGGAGTACCTAACTGTGAGAGATGGAGCTATCCACAGGAGACTTCCTAGAAAGCATTTTTGTTTGTTTTTATTATTCGAGAGTCAGAGAGGCAGAGAGCTCTAATCTAGTGGGTCACTCCTCAGATGACCACAGTGATCAGGCCCAGGCCAAGCCAAAGCAGGAAGCTCTATCCAGGTCTCCCATGTGGATGGCAGGGACTCAATTTCTGGATCTAACACCACTGCCTCCCAGAATTTGCACTGGCCGAAAACTGAGGTCAGGAACCAGAGCTGAGCACTGAACCCACTACTCTGATGTGGGATGTGGGAGTCCTAACAAGTAGGCAAAATGCCTGTCTGGAGGACTTTTTTTCTTTTTCTTTTTCTTTTTTTTTTGATAGGCAGAGTTAGACAGTGAGAGACAGAGAAAAAGGTCTTCCTTCCGGGTTCACCCCCCAAATGGCTGCTACGGCCAGCGCGCTGCGCCGATCCGAAGCCAGGAGCCAGGTGCTGCCTCCTGGTCTCCCAGGCGGGTGCAGGGGCCCAAGCATTTGGCCATCCTCCACTGCCTTCCCGGGCCACAGCAAAGAGCTGGACTGGAAGAGGAGCAACCGGGACAGAACCGATGTCCCTAGAACCCAGGGTGCCGGTGCCGCAGGTGGAGGATAAGCTGCAGCGCTGGCCTGGAGGACATGTTTTGAAACTGAGATTTAGGGGCCGATGCTGTGGTGCAGTGGGTTAACACTCTGGCCTGAAGTGCCAGTTTCCCATACAGGCACCAGTTTGAGACCCGGCTGCTCCACTTCCTGTCCAGCTCTCTGCTGTGGCCCGGGAGAGCAGTGTAGGATGATCCAAGTCCTTGGGCCCCTGCACCCACGTGGGAGACGTGGAGGAGGCTCCTGGCTCCTGGCTTCGGATTGGCACAGCTCTGGCTGTTGCAGCCATCTGGGGAGTGAGCCATCAGATAGAAGACCTCTCTCTCTCTCTCTCTCTCTCTCTCTCTCTCTGCTTCTCCTCTCTCTGTATAACTCTGACTTTCAAAAAATTAAATAAATCTTTAAAAAACAAAAGAAACTGAGATTTGGGGGCCAGCATTGTGGTACGGTGGGTTAAACTACTGCCTATGATGCCAGCATCCCATATTGGAGTGCTGATTTGAGTCCCAGCTGCTCTACTTCTGATTCAGCACTTGGGAAAGTAGCGGAAGATGGTCCTAGTGATTGGACCCCTGCCACCCATGTTGAAAACCTGGATGGAATTCCTGGCTTCTGGCTTTTGCCTGTTCCAGCTCTGGATATTGAGTTCATATGGGGAGTGAACCAGTAGGTGTAAGATCTCCTCTCTGTATCACCCTCTCTGTCACTCTGCCTTTCAAATAAATAGAATAAATATTTAAAAATAAACTGAGAGGAGGAAAAATTGGCTCAGTGAAGGGGAAGGTGTAGAACAAATAGTTGAAGGGAAAGGCAATTGGGAATGTTCAGACTTGAGAGAAAGCCTGGGACACTTAGTGGGCTTCAGATAATCTGGCTTGGAAAGAACAGAGGGGCCGGCGCCGCAGCTCACTAGGCTAATCCTCCGCCTTGCGGCTCTGGCACACCGGGTTCTAGTCCTGGTCGGGGCGCCGGATTCTGTCCCAGTTGCCCCTCTTCCAGGCCAGCTCTCTGCTGTGGCCAGGGAGTGCAGTGGAGGATGACTCAAGTGCTTGGGCCCTGCACCCTGCACCCTGCACCCGCATGGGAGACCAGGAGAAGCATCTGCCATCGGATCAGCGCGGTGCACCGGCCGCTGCGCGCCGGCCGCGGCGGCCGTTGGAGGGTGAACCAACGGCAAAGGAAGACCTTTGTCTCTCTCTCTCACTGTCCACTCTGCCTGTCAAAAAAAAAAAAAAAAAAAAGAAAAAGAAAAAAGAAAGAAAGA